TTGACCGTAGTCCAGCGATTTTCAGCCCAACATCCCATACTGGTGCTTTACTTATTTAAAAATAAAATCGCCACGATTCATTGATGAATCCTAGCTCGAGACATATTGGTATGTAGTTAAAGTAGGTTCAATGAAGAATTTTGGTCCCCTCTGTAGTCAAAGCATTCATACGTATATAGTCTTTTTGAACACCTGTCTCATTTATCAATACTTTAGTTCAAGAGCCTCAAACTTAAAACACCTTGAAGACCGCATGTCCCAAGGGCCGCACCACCATGGTTATCTTTCATGACACCTTATGACGCCAGTGTGTACGAGTGTCTGATTTAGGTTTTTAACGTACCTTTAACAATTCTGTAGTCATATCGCTACGAAGTCTGCAATGCGACAACTTATAGTGATGTCTAGAACTGGTGCATCATGCCGCAGATAAGTGGCATGATGTCCCACCCAGTCACATTATCCTGACACTAGGCCAACCAGTCCTAACACTAACCTCTTAATGCTGAGCGCCATGCTGTTAGTATCATTTAGCTGTTAGTATCATTTTTTAAAAAGTCTTTGGTATGACTCGACCGGGGATCGAACACGCGACCTTCCGCATCCGAGGCGGACGCTCTAACCACTAGTCCACCGAAGCGGTGTGACGTCAGTAAATTTGAGGGCCCCAGGATACGGCTTGGCGGGCCGCGTGTTTGAGACCCCTGCTTTAGACGAAATAATCGAACAAACCTTTATATATTAAATTCAAATACCAACAGCACAGACCCAGACCTGCCATTGCTTAATACGCTGGCCGATCTGGGTCTATGCAATTTGCAAGGAGCAATCAATAGAAAGAACATTATAGACCTTTATCAACCAGCGGATTATGCGACGGCAGGTGAAAGTTGATCTCATTTGCAGTTGTACTCGACTTCGACGCGATTGTATATGGTATATTATTAACCTCTTGTAAATAATAGTTGCATCATTCCAGATGAACACGAGACTTTTCTTAAGGCAAACGAGATTGTTTGAAAACAAGAAACTTTCCATGTTATACAATCTTTGCACCTTTTAAATAAAGCAAAACTTTAAACTTCTTTGCCGTGTCTGTATCTGTATTGCTTCAAGTATCTTGTGTCTTATTCTTCGTCTTTGATATCAAGCATAAAACTTGAAAGGTTTCACAACATTGATTTTTAAAAAAAAATTGAATCAATTGAGACCAAGTTTTGGGATGTCAACAGGTATCAATAATACCCAAATTTCCAAGCCAACAATCTCTCTCTCACACACACATACACACACACACACACACGTCATGATGTTATATTTGAAAATATAGTTTATATATTGTGCTTTAAAGATAATTTTTGTTGCTTACAATGCACGAGTCATAACTTTTTTGGAACATTCATACATAACAATTGCTTATGTCAAAATCCAGCTCCGTGGTCACTGTTGTACACTCTTTCAATGTGTCTCGGTTTCAGGTGAAATTCAAAAAGAAAATATGAAGGAAAAAATAAAGAAAAATGTAAAATAGAGCTAGGGAGTAGAAAACTGCCAGTGACTGTATTTCTCTTGATCAATGAGGCGGTGTCTGGAATCAGGCCACAATTCAGGTTCAGTACCCCAAGAATGTAGCCAGCCTATTTTTGGTGCATTTTACCCTCAGTCTGGTTGTGATAACAAGAGTTAGATTTAGGAATTTTTGGTATGGATTTAAAGGCAATTGTTTATTCTTTAGAATAAGAGTTTATGGTAAGGTTGTCTGTGCGTATTTCAGCGACAGTATACAGTGAGTAATAAGGTCTTGGTTGATGATCTGGAAGTGAAATCCGTGTTCCTATGCACGTTGGTTTGTTTACAATCAGGCCTATCAATAAAATGCAGGTCAACCCTTGACAAGAACGTCACCGTGAAGTCATCTTTGAAGGTATTTTTGATTAAGATATGATTTGTATTGATTGTCACACAGTGGAAAAGTTCAGAACCGAGAAACAAATGTAGAGAATATACAGTAATATTGTGTTCTATTGTTATCTACTACAGTTGCTAAAGGTAACGCGATTGCATATGGTTATTCTGGAGTATAAGGGATACAACTCTCGTAAGACTTGAATTTTGGTGCACTCCAATGTAATTTTTTCTCCCAATCACGTTCACGAACATTTTAAATGAGATTTAAAGTATTTGGTACTTCAATCAATGACACGACAAAACAACTGAGAGCAAAATTGGAAATTGATATCTCATCAATTAAGGCCATGACAAAAAGAGATATAACACTGCTGAAATTTGATATCTCATGAATTAATGACATGACAAAAATAGAGAAACCTAATATGAATAATTGAAAGAAAAATCTTTAAATTTGCACTTGGGAAATTATCTAAATGGAACTTATCTCCCACCCGAAGGATATGCATTTACTAGAATCACCTTCATTATACAAGTTAATGGAATATGTGACACATTACAATTTTCACCTAATGAACATTCAAATATGTAGCTAACCATCCTTGTGTTAAATGCAGCAAAACAACACTGCACATTGATGAAAGACCCCCTCCACTCACCCAAAAACATTGAGCAAGGTAAATTATGAATTTAGGAACAATCCAATAGTCCTTTATAGTCCTGAAATGATAATAATGTTGCATTACATAGTCCCAAAAATTAATTAATCTGAATTTCTTGGTGAGGGGGATTGGGGTGGTATGGTTCTTTTCATGTTAGAAGTTTGAGAAATATGAAGTCATCATTGAATTTTGGTTAAAAAGGTATTAAATTTCGCCACGGACATAAACAGTTATTAACACATAACTAATAGTCAAAACTGCGCTGCTGCAGTCTGATGTCGGTTCTTCTTGATACAATACAAAACTGTATTTTTTTGTACTATTTTTTTTGCTTCTTTGGTGGTTTCAATGTATATGCAAAAATAAAAAATCACAAAATATTTCTTCTCTTTGAACCTACAAATATAAACCAAACTAATTACATAATTACTAATTACATTAAAACTGCTATGTATTTATCCAAGAAAATATCCCACAAAAATGTTAACTTGCAAAAATAATGTTACAGTCATCTCTCACTCTAATGTCACTCTCTTTTTGTAACAGTTACAGTCATGTGGATCCTAATATATTGTTCAAATTTATTTTTTCCCCATTGTTACAAGAATTATTTCACTTAATGTACTGCATATACTTATAAGTCCAACTGTAGACAGCACAGACAGATCTTCTACTGCATAATGTGCCAGCTGATCTAGGTCCATACAGTTGCTATGAGTAATCAGCAGAATACACATAGACCCTGATATGCCAACATATTATTTGATGGCAGATCAAGGTATGTGTTTGCACTCAACTTATAAATAAGTACCAACAGTAAATTCTTAGGTAATGAAAATCAGATATAATGAGATTTCATAAATATATTTTGTTTTTATACTGAATTATAACACATTCTTTTTGTCAAGCCTGTCAGTACAAGGTGCCCTCACTTATAATTGATTGTTTCTGTTGGCTTAATGCTAGGCTATACATAACACCCAGTATATTTGGTGAAATAAGAAGGCAGGAAAATCCTGGGAAAAACCACTGACAGATAGGAAGCTGCTGGCAAGCTTTCACACATACCCATACTGGTCAAGCCAAGACTCAAATATATGTGGACATGGGTAAGATGTGTGAGTGATCGATAAAGGCAAGTGCCTTGGACCACCTGGCCACCTTGGGCTCCTCTGCTGGGTTCCTGCCACAAATTTAAAACTAGATACCAGACATTTTTCAGACCCAAAATTAAAAATTTCCAAACCTAACAATGTGACAAGGTTATTGATCTACTGAAGCTAAAATACTTAAATACTGCAAGTAAAATGTAATGAGCTGACATAGAATAAGCCACAAGATTTTACCTGGATATTAAAACTTCTCCCAAATGAGCAGTCATGTTACCTTTTCCATAATAAAGAAAATTTAAGATGTTTAAAGGACTTTTTAATCATTTTAAACTTTTTTTCAGCCATTTTCAAAACCTGGAAAAGCAATTTTTGTATCTTAAACCTTTTTCAGACCCTCACTTATATACTGGTTAACTTTTATGACTCCCATGAACTTCGTTTAAAGTTTTGTTGTTACCTGTATGCACTGGCAGGCTTTATGGAGGTTTTCTGACATCACCCATCTTAAAGACTCATGCCACCTCAAGGTCAACCTGGGTCATCTGGCTGCCTTGGCTTTTACTAAGAATTTTTGTAATGGAAAGTCAAAACATGTTACGGGTAAAAACTGAGGTGCTCCAAATTTTGGTGAAACAAAATCTAATGTAGTCCAGCTTCATATCTGCAGTGATATACATTACAGTGTCATAATCTTAATGACAACACTAGTCGGATGTAAACAATTCACAAGAGGGAAACTGAACTGAAATTTTCCTTGACTGATATCTGCAATTGTCTTTTCAGACAGAGCCAAGTAGGCTGAGACCACTTTGTGTTTTGTCAAGAAACATGAATACAAGATGACAAATGTCACTGTATAATTAATATGATAATCATTCTCTTCCTTGTTGCAAGCTTATTATCTGCAACAAATTCCAAACTTTCTTTTCAAAATCTGTACATACACCTTTCTTATATCTTATTTCAATGAAGTTGGTGGAAATTAATCAACAATCTGACCTTGTATATCTTACACTGTAAGTTAGCAAGGTGCCAGTCTTAGATTTGTTTCCCCCATGAATGAATAGAACCGTTAGATATGTAATCAAGTAGGTGGCTTACAATCTAGTAAGATCACTGTTAAGCTGTTTTTTTGACTGTTGACAAGAAAGGTCAGATGATGTGTAATGTGATTTTTCAACAACAGAAGCATAATTTGTGTTAGGAAATTTTAAGGCAAACCACAATGTATGTTAACAAATATTTGATTGGTTATCATTGATATGATGCAAAGCATAGAGAAAAACAAAAATATCTTGTGTTCCTATCATTAATTACTGCTCTGGTGGCCTAGTGGTTAAAACATCCACCTCGGATGCAGGAGGTCACAGGTTAGAACCCTGGCCATGTCATACTAAAGACTTATACAAATGGTACTAACAACTGACTTGCTAGGCACTCAGCATTAAAAGGTTAATGTTAGAATTGGTCAGCTTGGTGTCAGGATAATGTGACTGGATAGGAAATCATGCCACATGTCTGCAGCATGATGCCCCAGTGCTATACATCATTATAAATTGCCAAATTGCATACATCATAGTGATATGACTGAAAAATGATTAAAGCTATGGTAAAAAAAATTCAAATCCAAATCTTATTATTAATTAAATATACAAGTACAAATTCACTTTTTTTATGTACACAAGGCAAAAATCACTGTAGTAAACAGCATTATAACTGCCAAATTTTAATAGACACATTGATTTTTAATAGTGAAAACAATAACTCAAACCATGCTTGAAAACTTAAGACACCACTTTTATTTGTAATGTATGAAACTGTAATAAAATAAATTCATCATATTGAAAATCAATTTGCATTTGTCCTTTATCCAGAGATGTCTGTTAAGGCAGGCGTTCTTGCATTTGAACTCATCTGCTTCTCTTGTGTATGAAAAAAAAGTACTGTCCATGTGCAGCGCTGGAAAATCTTACATGTAATATAAATACAAGACTGATCCAGCGTTTCATCATTTATGCCTCATATATGTAATGATATTGTATGATGTCAAGCCACAGAGTTGATTGTCCTTGACAACTGGTTTATAATCACTGGTTGTAAAACCAAGTAATTGGTCAACAATACGTCATGTTAACTGACTATATAAGACAAAGATTAAAACTTAATAACACTCAAGGTAACTAATCTACCAAGGAATATCCTTTCCAAAGTTCTATACATCCCATCAAAGAATTGTACTGCAACTTCTCTAAAGTAGTCCCTCTGTTACCCAGTCTCTTCTGTAAAGAGGACACATATTCATGTGTCAATCAGGACATTTTAATAACATATGTACTCACATATGTCAATTTTGACTGCAATGAGACCATGATCTGTCACTACATAATGTGTGACAGATCAAGGTCTGAGTTGTTTGTTCTACTGATCAATCCAAACCACACAGAACTAGATCTGCCAGATATACAATGACAGATCTGGGTATGTGCAGTCTGCAGATGGACTTGAGTACATACTATACCAATGAAACCTTAGTAACCAGACAACCACTACACAATGGCCTGAAATTGCTTGTAAACTTACTGTATCAACCATAAATCTCTTAATAGATTACTATGATTATGAACTTTTACCTACATACACCAAGCCACCCACATAGATTGATCAAAGAACATACTCAAGAAAACTGCAAAACCAACTTTTCTTGGAGTTAAAATGACCTTGACCACTGTCTCCCAAATCAATAAACATTTTAGAGGCAAACCTGACCCAATCTTTGGTCAAAGTAAGTGATCAGGAGATGCAAAAACCATTTTTCTTCTTTCAGTCAGTGACTCTTTTTGATCCTCAAAACAACAGGTTTCTTTCTTGCCAAATGTATAAACTATCCCAAAAATTTGGTGAAAGTACACAGTGAAAAACTGAAATTTTTGAGCGGAAACAAAATTAAATTTTTATGCCACAGTGTACTTTACAACAGGCTTTGAAAATACTCAGGCAAAAGCCATCTCCAAAGCTAAGTCAAGGAGTGCGATGTAGAATAAGTCATTAAGCAGAAACCATTCTTATTCAATTAGTCACAATAACATTTACCTTTGACTCCATAAATAAATTGGCGTCTCTACCCCAAGTGCAAGCTATCAACAAAGTTTAGTCCATATCTTAGAACTAAAGTAATTTTACAGAATTAATTTTTCCTCCTTGACAGTGACCTTTTGACCTTGAATGGATATAGAATGTTTCCATACCCAAGTGCATGCTATTTATAAACCCTGGTCTGGTAACAGTAGATGGTGGAAAACTTTAGTTATTGTATGTAAACAAAAACAGTGAACTGGATGGACAAATGTCAAAACATGAAAAACAAAGCCCACTGATAATAGATTGATTACTGGTTACTCAAATATACATTATTAAAAGTTATTCCTTAAATCTTATATGACATGAAAACCAGTAAGGGAAAGAATCAAGTCAAGTCCTATCTCATCATGAGATTTCTGGACAAGACCATCACACCAGCATCAAAAACTGTGCTGATCCCATTACAATGGTTTTCAGTGTTCATCCTCAAACCTGCTGCTGACACTGTCGTAACCTCAAACCACCATCATAAATAACATATTAGACTCCCAGATATTACAAAAAAGATTTGTGTTACAGAACACAAAACAAAAATACATCAAGATCATACATAGTTATGCCACAAGTTTGAAAGCTGACAGAGACATACTGGACTGGATGAATAGAGAGAATGACAAGATGAATATAAATATCTATGGAAACTACAACTGTGTGTATCATCATAATTCCCAAAACATTAAGAAATAATACAGAAATATAGTACGGATTTTCAAATAACAATTACAATACTTTCAAAAAACAATTTGGAATTTTATATCCTTGAACAATTTTGTTATATTCACTATAGGCTTAAGATAACATAAAAAAGCAAAATTAAGCACAGAACGATTTTGACACATCAATATATTTTCTTAAAAGTGAAAATAACCCAACAAAATATCAAACATAGAATGAAATGCATCTATATAGGAAACTGAAGATACAAAATATTCAATTTGTTACCTGATGGGTGTTTCACAATACAATTCACATCAAACTAAATTTGTCAGTTTCGCTAATTTCTAGTAGGAATAGGTCCATATTCCCCTGATTAAAAAGCAAGTTGTACTAATTCTGATGGCAATTCAAGTTCCCATCTCAAGAGTGCTCAGATTGATCTCTAAATTCAAATGGAAAAGTGTTCTATCTAACCTGATGAATTCATGTACTATTATACAGCTATCTTACAATTTCATAGCTATGGTAATGTAATTAAAACTAAAGGTGCTGTCAGTTTGTGTTCTGCTGTGTTCTTAATTGCTATCAGACACGAGACTATTAAAACATTTTTTTGATACATTGCACTAGTTAAGGACATGAAATGTCATGAAATGTATTAAAAAAATAAACAACCAAATACATGTAAAATTTCTTACTCACTCTACCGGCAAATTAGAATGGTACTGGAGAAAAAAAGTTTCTTTTATATTTTCCATATGAAACAAGAAAACATAATTCTAATGCAGAACATTATGTACTACTGAAAAACAATTTTCCACTTCTCCTTTAATATAGTCAATTTTTTTTACCATTGTTTACAATTTCTGCAAATGAAATCTGAACACATAATTTGCATTAGCAGCAGCCAAAATTCCAATTTTTCAGATATCCATCACAATGACTCAAAATAAAGTCTAGACTAAGGCAACTTTGATTGTAAAGCTTGAGTCAGGCTTAGTTTTCATCCAATCAGATTGATTTAATCTTTCTGGACTTTCATATAAGTTAAAGTTCAGCATGTTGTTCTATTGTGAAATTCAGACCACGTTATGCAAGTGGTAAAAACAAAATTCCCCCAAAACTTAAATAATTTCCATACAAAAATTGTTTAATGAAAAAACTAATGTGCTAAAATGAAAGTAACAAAGAATTCTGGGAGTCTACAATTACTGGTACAAAGCTGTTGTTAGAGACGATGGTGAGGTATACTGACAAGTTTAGGGTCAGCAGCAGGGATTAACCTCAGCATCCTGCCTGTTTCACATCCTGCCCACTTCTCTTGCTTGTTGCCATAGTTGTAAAGATCTGAAATATCAAACGTAGATTTCTTAAAAACAGAATCCTCCGAGTTAAGATTTTTGGAACGAAATAAAATTACATACAAATTAAATACTGCATCATCATTTATTTTCATGAGTCTTGAAGTTTGTGGTTTTGTTAAAAAAAGAAGGCATTTTTGGAGGAATTTTTTTTCATGGTTTAACCTATACAGATACCCAATAGAAAGAATGCAAAAAAACAACTATGCAGAAACAAACAGCAGTCGCTTGAATGTTGCCACATGTATGAGCAAAAACAAAGACCTTCCAAGCTCAATATTTACACCATGTTTTTGTTCAAGTGAATAACATCAATGACTGCTAAATCTGTCATGAAAACCAAAACTATACTATCACCTCTATGTGCACAATTAAATCACATATCAAGATATATCACAGACACATTGTTTTCATCTGAGTGCTCAGCAAAGTGTTGAGATGCTGAAGAACAGTGGAATCACACTTTTTTGTGCCTGCCTCATGTACAGACCAACTTCAACCACCTTATGTGACATAATAAAGAGTTCAAAGAAGAATTCAAACCAGTACTTGCACAGGTGGTATGCTAAACAGGTCATGGAGGCCATCTAGGAAAAGAAAGATGTTACTGGTGCGCTGTATTAGTGAACCCTTGTAACCTCATTATTCAAATAATTCACGGTGAATAGATAATGTATCTCATACGACAATAAGCGAAAGATAGAACCTGGAGAAAGCTGTACTTGTTTAATTCTGCAATTTCAGGATATTTACCTAACCAGTGTTTGTGTGGATTATTTGACTTGATTGATAGTGGCTCTGTCCAAACATGAGCTAAGTGTGAGCTTTAATATTCTGCTTTAATTAGTGTATATACATAATAATTCATTATTTTTATTATTCCATCTTTCATTTTTGGCATTACCTTATGCTTTTTCTCATTTTTTTTCATCTTTACTTATCTCACATATCATTTTAAGGCAATGAGGGGAAATTACAGGTACCTCATGGATATGTGTTCATTGAAACAATATAAAATGCCTTAAAATTTTTGTTTCCAAAGGTTAACATGATATAAACACATGGAAATGATAATATTTTTATTCGTCAGACCAAAACTACCATTCCATACTTTTTCATGACAAGCCTCTAAATTCAAGGGCTTTTAAAGGTGACCCTCAGAATTCAAATATTCAAGGTCATGTAAACCTTATTATACCACTAACCAAGTTGTAATGAGGTAATATACAGCGAAA